TCAGTTTTTTGCAAACAAATGGTAAAAAGTCACTTTTTTAAATAGGGACATAGGTTCTCACTTAGATATAGTTTTGTGTCCCATTTAAAATTTTCTTTTAGTTAATCGAACTTTACAAAAACAACGCACTTGAAATTTACAAAATAAACCGGCTGCGCAAACAACGTATCAATAACGTTTTGAAAGTGTAACTTTGGTTTATTGGTGTATAACGGTGTTTTTTATTTTACAAAAACTAAGTAAAGTTTCTGTTATTTTGGAGTATTCTCTACAGAATGGCAACAAAGAATAATGTAAAACTGCCTTTACGAAATTGAACTTTCGCACAGCCAAATGTATCATTTGACCTAATGTGCACTGGTACAAATGGTTGTGCGAAGTTATGCGAAGTATGCATAATCAGACCTTTATTTGAAAAATTACCTTTATAATTTTACTATACGGCAGCCGAATGTCAGAAAATAAAGCTCAGTATATCCAGTGAACAAACTGAGCTGTTTTTTCGCCAAATTTGGTCCCCATAAATGACTTAGGGATGCAAACAACGCTTTTTCGGCAATTAGGGGTGTTGCTCAGCAATTTAATGTGGAGAAAATATGTAGCACCGAATGTATGAAATATTAAAGATTCTCTTCACATTATTAATAAAACTTAACGTAATTGTATTTTCTATTTTGATAATACTAATTTTTGCTATTGTTTACAAGTCGAAGTGATTTAAAGAATATCTGTAATGAGATAATTTAGTTAAATGTAAACCATATTAAACGTAAAAACACATATATTTAGATTTGTTAATTTAAGTAGTGAACATTGTGCATACTTACAAGTGAAAAAGAATCAGATGTTTTGCAGATATGCCCCACAGCTGAGATCACCTGATTTTATTTGCTACAGGGTTACACTAATATCTATAAAAAAACTTTAAACAGAGTCTGACAAAAACAGCAAAAAAGTTCTATTAAGTGTAATAGTTATTGACCAAAACGCTTTAAAATACTAAAATGGCATATAAATGCAGGAATCCATTTATCTAAATGCATATTTTGCCAATTTTTTTACTTTATTTTAATAACTTTTGCCTTTTTTACATCACTTTAAACACCCTGTCTAACATTTTGGCAGGATAGTTACATGAACGAAAGACACAAGATCACGTAAGAACAAGAGAGTGAAAAAAGTCGATTTTTTTAGCGGGTTCTACGCCATCTTGTTTCACTAGAAAACGAGCGAAAAGTAAACAAAGCAAAGAAAACAACGAAAACCAAAATTAGCCAAAATTATTGGCAGCCACTTTAAACGCACAATTTAGGTAAAATGATACAACAAAATGCTTTAAAATGTGTTGTCATGTTGAATTAACTCTTCTTTACTTGAATAAAAGTGTAAAATAGTGGTGCTTGTGATATAAACAAACGCTCAGCTGACGAACCCGCTTTCGCAAACTTATGCACAATGGTAGTGAAACATGTTGTATGAATTGATATCACTTCCATTATAAATTACAGTCATATACAATAATATACATATATGATATGTACATATTCCCATACTATTTTGTAACGAGTTACCTAAATCAAGACATGACCCTCAAATTGGAGAAGATTGGCCAAACACTTAGGGCCGTTTGCACCATGTCTAGTTAACGCTAAAGCAGTGTTTGCATTATTCAACTTTGCGTTCAACAACTGCGTTCAACTCAACGCAGGGTTGCACGAAAAAAAAGTTGAATGGCTAAATGTTGGCTGGCGACCAACTTTGTTGAAAGCGATTAGTTGAAAGGCCATTCAACCAAAAGTTGAATGCAAAGTTGAACAATGCAAACACCTTTTTATGGCGAATATTTTGATATTTTTTCATATTTTGATATTTTTAGCCATTCAACTTTTTTTTCGTGCAACCCTGCGCTGAGTTGAACGCAAATGTTGAACGCAAAGTTGAACAATGCAAACACACTTTAACTGGAGGTACATCCTTCAGTTAAGCACGTTAACTGCTTTATCGATCACATGTTATATGATGGGTGTCGATAACGTCGATAAAGATGTTTAACTGGGAGTTAGAAAACTAGACATGGTGCAAACGGCCCTTAGCTAAAAGTACAAGTTGTAGGCATCCGAGTACTCATCATTTGATTCCGACTAGGAATGTTCGATATTTAAGAAATTATCGGTATCATGAATCGATTTAATTCATTGCATGTAAAATCGATACGGTGATATATCGGGCTGAACAATATCGATATCGGAAAAATCGAAGTTGAAAATCCTACTCCCAATTGATTAGAATATTAGACCTGCTTATCAACTCAATTAATTGTGTTATTTCCATCTTGTATATTTACTGAGGATTAAAACTGCATGCCGGCCGACTCAAGCGGTTTGTCAAACTTAAGAGCTAAATAAATCACACAAGCTGTTGATTAAACCTACTTTAGTATTTTTCCATACACTTCCTTGTAGATGAAAAATAAATTTCAACTTAAATATCGATATTGCGGGTAAAGTATCGATGTCTTCGATATATCGACCTTGGAATATCGATTCAAAAAATCGATTATCGTGCGATGAAATATCGATATTCAGAAAAATCGATACGATATCGAACATTCCTAATACCGACAGGATATTCGTGATAAAAATAAATAAATATTTATTTTCTTTATTCCATTCGTAATTCTATTTTACCATTCTGGAATTTAACCATTTTTTTTTTTTTATTTAACAAGAGCAGTAAGAAGGTATTTCACTTTAAGTTGCTCGGAGCTAATTTTGGAGAACATCATCCCAGATTTTCGTAAGCATAAAATGCACCACTGAGAGCATTATTAAGGCTGGTATGCACCTCTCAAGAAATCGGTCAAGAAAAATTTGCAATTATAGCCCTGTATGCAGCTCTCAAGAAAACGGTCAAGAAAAAATTGCCATTATTTCGCGTGTGTGTCCAAGGAATTTTGACATTTTTGATACCTCACAGCCTGTTGCCTCACTCTTTCCTTAAGAAATATTGGAACGGGCATATATTTCTGTTGCAAACCTGGGTTGCCTTGAGCTCTTTTTTCACAAAAAACTTTAGAAAACCGTAGTAGAAAGCGTAGTAAATTTCTTAAGAACTGCGTACTGCCTTAAGGAAATTTGACTCAAGAAAGTTTCTTAGCCATTTCTTGTACGTCATTTTATATGGAGTTTTTGCTTTTCTTGAGAGCTGCATACAGGCCTTATTTCGTGTGTGTGTCCAAGAAATTTTGACATTTTAGATACTACACAACCTGTTGCCTCACTCTTTCCTCAAGAAGTAATGGAACGTTCATAAATTTCTGTTGCAAACCTGGGTTTCCTTGTCCCCTTTTTTCACAAAAAACTTTAGAAAACTGTAGTAAAAAGCGTAGCAAATTTGACTTAAGAAAATTTCTTAGCCATTTCTTGTACGTCATTTTGTATGGAATTTTAGCTTTTCTTGAGAACTGCATACAGGCCTTTATTGAGCTAGAAAACCAACACAACAGCGTGAATTTGTATACGTTTTGCAATAGAATTGAATTATTTTACAATTTAAGTATACTTTTTCACTTATTAGGTGTGATATAATATTTATGCAGCGATATATGTGAAATATTTTGCAATGCAAGTAAAATGCTAATCTAGGGCGCAGTACAAATATGAAGCTCTTGAATTCCATGAAAGATGCCCTAATGTCGAGTGCTAAAATTTTCACGAAACTTTCATCTTGGAATGTACCTAAAATAAATATATTAACATCAAACAAATTTATAAATTTGGGAAATAACTTACTTTTTTCTTTGTTTACCTTTTGACACAAGCAAATTGCTTGAAATGTAAATTCTCCGATACAGCAAAAACAAGGGCCAGGGGTGCTTTTGTATGAAAAGCAACTTTTGAGCGGTAGCGCTTAGAGCGCTCCGATAAGCAATGTTATTTTGTAACAAATTTGTCATCAAACGGTGGCTTTAAAATTTCTTTGATATTTATTTATTAAAGTAAATCCGTACATTTGTGTTTATTCGTAAAATTGATGTACTAAACGAAACTTTGTTCTAATAAATTCTAAAGTTTATTTCATTAGTGTTGAAAAGCGACCGTGCGTGTAAGAAATTTTGTGGTGCCAAAAATTTCACCTCTGGAAACTTTATCCCCATAAAGGACTTCACCACTGTTTTTTTACTGGATATACTGAGATCATGAACGACCGCCATGATCATGAACGACCGACTGTCTTTTTGGTTCATGCTTGCAAATTACGGAGCGTTTACAGTGGACAATGCTGCATAAAGAAATATGTATTAGTTGTCGAAAAACGCTGATAATTGTCTCCGTGGCGTAGGCGTCCTGACAATAGTGAAGACAATTTATTTTTAGCAAAATGTCGAAGGTGAACATTGAATCATAAATTGCATAAATACGCATTTCACGGGAGCTATTTGAGATAAAAGCTAAAAAATAAAAAAAAGAGACAAAACTACTTACACACCAGCGTCTCTTTAATTATTATAGTTATTTTGTTATGAGTTTCTCTTCTTTCTTGCACAAGACGTCAAAATTATTGTCTGCAAAAGTCAAATCATTGTCCGATTTACTGTCTTCAAAATAATCAAGACAGTGATTGAGACAATTGAAGAAGTATGCATGTATTAGTGAAAAGTCTGCATACATGTATTGCTATTGTCATGACAGTATTGTCCGTTGTAAACTCTAAGTTAGTTTTGTGGTACCGGCACAGTTTAGATTTACATGCAACTTTTAGTTGAAAGTAACAATCGCCTGGTGTGAACGGGCTTTCAACTAATCGCTTCCAATGAAGTTGGGGTGCAGCCAACTTTTGATTCAACTAATCGCCTCTAAAATTGTCTGTAAAATCGCGTCATGCGAACACCGTATTATGCCCACCGAACATTGACCAAAAATCAGTGTTGTCTTTTCAGCACAATTGGACCAAAATTGGTAGTTTCATTTCTTAAAATAAGGCTTTGTAGGTTGGTTGGTTTGTTGTGATTTCCAAGGGGTTTTGGTAGGCAAATCACATAATTTATGCATTTTATAAAACTTATCTGTTTTCGGGAGTACATGTAAAGGATGATGTGAAAAGGAAAAGAGAAATGGGACATGTCAAAATTATTTTTTGTTCCAGCTCCGTGGGGCGCGAGATCAAAAAGGCACGATCATACTCGAAGCATCTCTCTGGTGAGTATCACTTGAGCAACCCGACTCTTATGGAGGATCTGTTTCTTAAACTCCCAACACAACAGCGTCTAGAGTGGGCGCGTTACGCAGTAAGCGTGATACCAAGGTCCACTATAAGCCATTTCAACAACTGGCTGAAAGAGTAGCGCGCGCAGTAAACGCGGCCGGCATTGTTTCAAATACACGATCGCGTTCGACAGAAGTAAGGGCCGAAGCCCGAGGAAGATTTTTCCATTCAGACGAAGTTGCGAACGGTAACCACACTTCATGCAAGCTGTGTACGGAGGCACACCATATATCGAGATGTGAGCGTCTGCTCGGCATGAACAATACGTCAAGATGGAAAGTTGTGCGAGAAGAAAAGTTGTGTTTTAACTGTATGAACAGTGGCCACAGAAGTAACCGATGCACGTATAAACACAAAGGCCCTGCGCGTAACCACGGACTCCTGCATGTCGACGGTACAACGCATGTAGGCGCGACTCAAGGTGTAAGGCTCAATACTCGCGAGAGCCGATCTTTACTAGCACTTTGAAGCAATGAGGAAAATCTAAAGTACTTTTCAAAATTTTTTCGTTGATGCTGTGTGCCAACGGAAAGGAAATAGCATGATACGCGTTCCTGGATGAGGGATCATCAATATCGCTTATGAGCAAGAGCTTATCTGACCGGCTGGGACTGAAGGGTAAAGGCCAGTATGCAGCTCTCATGAAATGCAAAAATTCCATATAAAATAACGTACAAGAAATGGCTAAGAAATTTTCTTGTGTAAAACTTTCTTAAGGCAGTATGCAGTTCTTAAGAAATTTGCTACGCTTTCTACAACGGTGTTCAAAAGTTTTTTGTGAAAAAAAGAGCACAAGGCTTGCAACAGAAATATATGCCCGTTCCATTATTTTTTGAGGAAAAAGTGAGGCAACAGGCTGGTGAAGTATCAGATATCAAAATTCCTTGGACGCACACACGAAATAATAAAAATTTTTTTCTTTACCGTATTCTTGAGAGCTGCATACTTGCCTTAAGGAAGAAAAGTTGATGCTACAATGGCTAGGAAACAATACGGTAACGAAGACGGTCTTCGCGGCTGATGTGCAAATTTCCCACCCCTTGCCGAGGAGCAAGAGATTCTAGAGGAAGAACATTACAGTCGTCGACGATTTGCAACTCCCCAGGCAAACACTCGATATTTCCGAGCTACAATGTAAATATAGGTACAGTAAGGGCGAATTTCAAATAAATATTTAAACGGCACTTAAGTTTAATTGTGGATTGTTGTTTTAGGGCCGGGTGTTCAATGTCTGGTTATCACTACCACTACACTATCGACGATTTCGACATCATGCATGTAACATGTGATCGATAAAGCAGTAGTTGTGCTTAACCGGAGCTTCTACCTCCGATTTGTGCTAATCAGACATTGAACAACCGGCCCTAAATGCCATTTAGCTTTCGTTGGGTTTCAGATCAACTTTGTTTAAGGGCCGGTTGCTCAAAGCCTGACTAACACTAATCATCGGTTAACATCGTTATCGACGTTTTCGACTCCAAGCTTATAACACGGTGTCGGTAACGTCGATAACGATGTTTAACCAGGGATTAGTGTCAACCAGGCTTTGAGCAACCGGCCCTAAATATGCCAAACAATTGGCAGCACTGCCGCTTGTTCCTTGAAATTGTTGTTACATTTGCTGTTACATTTATTTACATATTGTGCTGAACAGCTGATTGTTTTTTGGTGGGATTTGGTGGCATTGATTAAATAACCTACCAATCAATCTTGGTTGTTTAGTACAAACACAGGGTTGCATATCTCATATTTAAATAGTCAATATTAGCCACTGAAGCGCAGATTAAATGTATGATCTGAAAATAAATAGTGGAAGTTAGGCCCCTATTATCATTCGCGAATCGCTTAAAATTGGCGAATCACTTTTAATGGCGAGTCGCCTTTTGACCAGCATTATGGTTAGCGAATGTACTAGTTCGCATAAAATGTGATGTTGCCAGCGCCAAAAACAGAAAGCGACGAAAGTGAAATGTCAAAAAAAGAACGTAAATTCAAAGACAAAGTTCAATTTGATTGAATGTAATAAAAGTAAAAGTAATTCGAAATGATGAGCAGTGTGGACTTATTTTTTGAGGACGAGTACGATGTGGAGGAAACCAACCTGCAAAGACTGAGACGCAGCATCCGAGATAATTCGAACCCGATGGATCTGCCCAATAGGCTGTAAGTAGAATGCCGTTTGCACATTTATCAAAAATAAACATGTAATTTTGTACTCCAGATTTGTTTCATACTTCAGGATCAATAAGGAAGCTTTTATGTTCCTGTTGCAAAAAATGGAGGACTCGTTCAATCTCAATGCTCAATGCACCGGAGCGCAGCAATACCACCAATTTTAAAGCTTGCTTGCGCCCTTCGCTTTTTCGCTGATGTCTCCTATCAAAGGGGCGTTGGTAACGATTTCGAACTAGGCTTCGCACAAGCAACGGTATCGGTGGTCTTAAAAGAAGTACTGGAGATATTCCAGACCGTCATTTGTCATGAATGGATAAATATGCAAATGACTGAAGACGAGAAACAAAGGGCTAGACATTTTTTCTTCCGAAAATCTCGTATAACTGGAATCATCGGGTGCGTGGACGGAACGCACGTTGGTATTGTTGCACCAAATCGATTAAAACATCAGTATTTAAATAGGAAAGGGTTTTACAGTTTGAATGCAATGATTGTAAGTTTCAATTAAAAATTTTTCAATTCTTTTTTCCTATTTGCATAATGTATATTTTTCAGGCTTGTGATCACAACATGGTGATACGGTATGTAGACGGCCGTTTTCCCGGTTCAACACACGATTCATTTCTTTGGGGAAACAGTGAACTGAAAGAAATCTTGCAAAGGATGTACTGCAATGGAGAACGAAGTTCTGTGTATTTAGGTATGCTGTTTAACCAGATTAATTCCAATATGTAATTTGATTTTCTTATAGGGGATTCTGGGTACCCCTTAAGCCCTTATCTAATGACACCATTTCGTAGTGCAATCACTGGCAGCAGAGAGTCAACCTTTAACACACAGCAGGGATGGGCGTAATCAGGAAAATGAATAATTGAATAAAAAAAAATCAACAATTTTGAATGACGAATAAATTTTTATTCTTCATTCAAGCACTTGCGAATGATGAATAAATTTTTATTCATAATTCAAGTAATTTCAAGTAACGAATAAATTTTTATTCTTCATTCAAGCACTTGCGAATGATGAATAAATTTTTATTCATCATTCAACTAATTTCAAATAACGAAGAAATTTTTATTCATCATTCAAGCACTTTCGAATGATGAATAAATTTTTATTCATTATTCAAATAATTTCAAATAACGAAGAAATTTTTATTCATC